CTCGATGGAATTTATGCAAAATTTAGCATTTTGCTTTGATCATTTATCGGTGTAATAACTTAAATCATACCTTAGAATAAGCCTTGGTTATAGATGACAAAGCTCTAGAAATCGGACCGAGCAGAAGATTTTGGCAAAATGTCGGCCTTCAAGGTGAAAAGATCGGTCCTGTATTCAAATTTTAGCAACCTTGGTGAATAAATGGAGAAAAAGCATCGTTTCCTCTTCCTTGGTTATCTCTTGATATTAGTTCTCTTATTTTTTTCTTTAAAAAAAGAGGGAACAATCCCGAGTGAACAGATAAATTGTATGTGTACCCGGAACGACTTCAACGCCCGTCACGCCATGCAATTTTCGCTCGGCCGTCTAAAGGTAGCGCAATTGGTCAAAATGCCCTTCATAGTTTTTCTTCCAGCGCGCTTAATTTTCACAGGCCAAGCAAACCATTTAGATATCCTATAACCATATCATACGTCTTACTTGGCGAGATATTCGTATACTAGAAGAGTTAAGACCCTCTCAAATAAGTGGAAATTTGGTTTGTAAATTAAATTGTGATATCTGTATTTTTCAAACTGCGCGGCAAACGTTTTTACTTCAAGATGATGATGATGATGATCAAAGTGTAAATTACTGTGTTTATAACGTGTGTTTGTAACACAGTTCACAAAAAGGGTCTTTTTTGACGCAATAAAAGAAATTCTGTCGTCAAGTTCTACATAGTTACAGAGAGTTGCTCTTAGGAATGTAAACTTTACTCTAATTGCTCTCCGAACCACCACTGCGTCGTAGAATCACGACTTGATGAGCACCTATGGACAGGGTTTACTGTTTCGTAATAACCGAAATTATCTTCCCCTCCTGGGTCTTTGACTGCTCCTGTTCGGGGACTTTTCAGCTGACATCCTTTATAAAACGATCCATAATATGAATCAACATGTGCGTGCCAACGATCTTGTTGAACAAAGTCAGCGGTACAATTTTCGCAACCATAGCGGCGGATGTTGATGTATTCGTATTTCTTACATCCGTCGTATTTTAACTGCATCACATCGATATCAGTAAATTTTGCTCTTAAATAATCGATGTAAATGAGACCATCGGTATTAAAATTGCATGTGGCTCGAAAGTGAGTGGAGTGCTTGGCAATCATGTCCATCCGGGATAGCGTTAAACGGAACTTATTCCAACTGAAGGCTTTTTTCTTGTCAGGGTTGTCCACATAAAATGGCGTGTTGGCAAACTCGTGGTTATTAGCCAGGCTGAATGACTCGACAAGAGTCCAAACAGAGTTATTTTCAGATTTAAAATCACAGAAGGTTTTGTAGATAGAGATGTTCGTCGGATCAAATAAAGCATACACTCCAGACGAGGCTGCCGTGTCCATTTCAAGTTTCTCCTTGCAGGATCGTGCTCTCCGCTTCTGACAAAATCTACCGAAGTATTCCCCTATGCAGATGCATTTAAACTTGCGTTTGGGATGATCGCACAACACCGTACAGGATCCTCCATGAAGACACGGATTCTGGCTGCAACACTGGTTGGTACAAGGTTTTTCTGAGCATGCACTTCCCACAGAAATCTGAAAAGGGCAATTTAGTCCTAGTTCATTTTTTTACATATTCCCCAGTTTTAGCCGAGGAATATTAGGTCACGTGACGCGTCTAGACCAATCGCGCACGAGCGAAAATATTTGCTGGATTATGAGGCGTTTTATACCATGCCATAGAAAATACAGCCAATCAGAATACTGGAAAGCCGTTGTATATTCGACGGTATTACACCCAACCTTCCCATCGCGCGCCACGCGTATCTCGCATTCAGTATTTTCCATGGCATGGTATAAAATAGTCATACAACACTCTCTTTCGTGGTATACTATGGAATATCCTATAAGTCACTTGCATTTTCTTGGTATGCATACCGGCGCCTAACCTTTGATACGGTGACTGAACTGTCCTATACCGAAACGAGACAGTAATAGTCTTTTTGTTCGCAGCTAACAAANTCTACTCATGTCAAAATAGGCGTATCCATCTTTTCTAACAAAGTCATCTGGAGCCGACATTCTGTCTTCGCCCAACAACTCGCAGCGCTGCCCCGATATCTGGAATGCTTGACATCTGCATTTTTCATCGAAGCACTTTACATGGCAATCGTAAGTTTTCGGTAGTGTAAAGTTTCTAAAACTGTGACCCACCATGGCGCGATTTTTAATTCCTTTTTCATGGTGATTTAGGTGGCTCAACTCGCATTTTCCATTGCATTCCGTGGCTGCTAGCTCCAAATTGTTTTTGGCAACGATTATTGATACGAAGAGAAAGATCTTTGTCGCTCCCATGTTTCACTATTTCTCAGGAGAACGTGAGTAAAAGACCCTCTTCAAGGACAGAATCTGCATTTTCATCAATGGTACCACGCAGTTTATGTAGCATGATTAATTTATGTTGGCTCAAGTCCGATAAATGGCTGTTGAACAGTTTTCACCTGCCATTAAACAAATTCTGTGGTTTGACAACGTCAATCACATAACATATGTTGAATTACCTTTTACTTTATTACGTCCTAATATTAGCAATTATTTTGGTGTGGATACAGGGCTAGATGCTGTTTCCTTTAGATCAGACTCCTGAAGGTTAGCGTAGACCTTCAAGGAACGATTTTATCCCAAAGAACAATTCTAACGTCAAATCATGCATGCGTGATCAGTGATTACCATTTCATCTGCAAATTCTATGCAAATAAATTATTTCAAAAGCTCGAACTGCGCGCGATTTATTCACAAAAATGTATTTTTCCTCGCAGTGTTCTTTTTTAAACACAGCATATTCTAAGTGACTTAAGAGCTTCTGCCTGAGAGACCGGGGCAGACTTGGAAATGAAGGTCGGCCGATTTCACAAAGTCGTTATGTGTATTTATGTAATATGCCAAAGTTTCAGGTTCAACGACCATTTTTAGCCGAGTTCTGGATATCAGCCCCTCAGGGGTCCCCTGAGGCTGATTTTAGTACAATTTTGGCCACCTTTCAATCTCTCTTTTAGAAAAGTACAATTAATTTCAGACTAAGCCAAAACCATATTTGTAATGCCGTATCCTTAGGCGTATATGGGTGAAAACATTAGCTCACGGGAATTTTTCGTTAGCCTGTGGCTGTTATCACTTTTTGGTCCTTTTTGAAGCATATGGGAAGCAACCGGAAATGGCCTGTTTTTCAGATCGCATATTTTCCATGCCCATGTTTCATATCGTAAATTCTTAGTATCCCTGCAAAGTTCAATCCTTAATTTAGTAATATCAAGAAAAAAATACTAAGGTTGAGGCTTTTACTACGAAACACTTTAAGACAAATTACCTACTACGCACTTCCTGTCAAAGTCTTAATTCCTTGTTAGGAGAGATTTTTAGACACCGGCCGCACAACTAACAAACAATCACTGATCGCAAAGTAAATTATTTAAAGGAAATGTATATTTCCAAATCAAAAACTAAAAATTAATTTTCCTACTGACGGATTTGAATTTAAATTGTACCCAGTACCGAGGTGACTGGTAGGTGAGGGGGAAACTTTATACGTTTATAACAAGAAAAGTAATCAAAATGCAATGAACCAAGTTGTTTACTGAGTGTATAAGTAAGTTGGAAAAGCTGAACAAAAAACACACGCAAAAAAGCCTTATTTATGGGACTCTGCCTTGTTTCTATGGCAACCTTGCTTTGTCAGGCATGATTACCCCAAGTTTGAGTTTTCGCATCTAATTCTCTGTTTTTTATTGACGTTTTCAAGTTTCTTGTGACAAACATGGTTTTTTTTTTTTGGGCACCTTTTCATTCCTTTAGTATCCTTTCTCTTCTCTTTTAATTTTGTTATAATTGGCAAAAACTATGTTTTGACTTCATGGAGCAGTCATGAAATCCGGACTGGTAGATTCAATACGACGCAAGTTTTGGAATTTATGATATTCTGACTTCACGTGCCTTCATAGCTGACTATTTACCATTGTTAGAATTTTAAGCCGTGAGTTTTTTTCTCCTTCTCCCTGCCAGAAGGTCACAAATACCTTGTGTGACTAGTGGTACTGAAATTTCCGACTTAATTGCGACACACCAAGAGGTGCTTTTCTTCAAGCTTCGGTCTTTGCTCCTCTTTGGTATCGATTCTAAATACGAATACCATCGTTACGATAGAGACTGTAAGTAAGTAAGCCCCATAATACAGGGCCAAATTACTTCCTATTTTCGCACGGAGATTACATTGTTTCAGCATGACACGCGAAGCGTCTCCGCTGTGATTTAATATTGGGCAGGTGAAACTCCTTAATTCATCTCCAAGCTCTTTCGACTTTTCAAGTGGAACAACGTCCAATATGACGTCGAAAATGTTAGCAATTGAATTGTGGGTGGGTAGACAATTTAAGATAGAGATATTTTGTTCAAATGTGTATCCAGATTATGATGGAACAACAATCCTTGAACCAGTGGAAGGAATTAATGATATTAAGGCGTGTGAAAACGTCTTTGAACGTGCAAAATAAATTTATGTCATGAAGTCACTCTACCCTAGGATACTTAAGGGATGCAATAGGTATTACAATGCCGAGCTCCTGAAATATGCTATCTGAAACGTTAGCGGTAACCTTCTTCGGCTTCTTCAATTTCTTTTTTCTTCTAGAGGGAAAGGGTGTTGACATGGCCACTTTGGTCATGCAAACAGGTACATTTTCGGCGGTGACATGGGCAAATCACAATCCTCTTTAATTCATACTTTAACTTCCATTCATGGAAATTGTCAACTCTGTGAAACACGGCCAGTTTATTACCACCAGTGCCCACTTTAATTTGACCAGCAGGTGGGTAACATCTCGATCCAACGTCGCTAATGGGAGAGTCACAGCAGGTTCTGATGGCTTGTTATCTCATGCCTCGCAAATGTCATCGTCTTTCCAAAAGGGACACCGTATACTTATGTTTTTAGTTTTCCAGGAGACTAAATTGTAATAGCCAGACTTTCGCTCCTCTGCCTTTCAAGCACACTCAAATGAAACAAATTTACTAACAGACTGAATAGATTTAATAAGTTTAATTAACTGATCGCAGATACAGTGTAGTTTCTTTTGTTGTAAATAAATAATCCAGCCAGCAAGATGTCCATGTGCTGGCCAGATATTCATTTCCCGGTTGCATTTTATCAATTTACGACAGACCGAAGTAAACATGTAACGTAGTAACACATTCGGATTCTGTACAAAACTGGCAACTGCATAGCGCATAGCACGGTGGCGGCCTAATGGCTAGCTGGCTGGACTCCACATCGAGCGCCCCTGGTTACTAGGGCGTTGCCATTTTGTCTTGGAAAAGGCAATTTTCTTTCACAGTGCCTCTCTCCACCCAGATGTATAAATGGGAGCCGGTGATTATCATCCTTTCCAAAGAAGAAGAGCAATAACCAATTTAAGCTCCAGCAAGTATGAGACACTGGGCCTTGTGACGACTTACCATATCACCTACAGCAAGTATACTGGTCGTCCCGGGGATTTTTGCTTCTTATTATAGAAATCGAAGTTAAGGGCCAGCAATTCTACAGCTAGGGACGCCATAAGCAGTAGTCTTTGAAGGAAAATCTACTCCTCCCCTGTCCTATCTTTGGATGTATGCGGTACACCGATTTAGTCTGGATCTCTGCTGACTGAGAAAGCAACAAATGGAAAATCCCGATAGAGAAAGCGAAAGTGTGCCAATGAGTAATGTTCTGATAATTTGGTCAGACATTCAGCGACTTAGCTTGGAAAAAGGACTGTCTTGGACGTCTCCTCAATTTATAATACCTAGACCGTTTGCACTGGGGGACTCATGAATAAATATTCTGTAACATATCCATTCGTTCTTCAGGTTCTCATGCAAGTTCTATACCTAATCATTCTCTGCAGTA